AGCCCTCACAGGTCAGGACCACCAGATCTTCTCGGGTGCTCTGAGATAGTGGGGGATGGGGATATTTGCCCAGCCTGAGAATGATATTTTAACTTCAGGATGGCTTGCTATAGGAGTTCAGGATCTGACTCCGGGTTGCACTGCTCACGTGTCTGAGTGCACGAAGAAAAATTACCTTGCAAAATCACTTCTGCTGCTTCAAAGACTATAAAAAGCATGGCAAGAGGTGAATTTTCTCTTCCCATTCCTGCATTCCACAGCATAACAGGATGGGGAGATTTGGGCTGGGTTCCAGACCCTGGAGGGTCAATTTATCGCAAATAGCTGGAAGGTGCATATGGCACAATTCATGTTCTCTGGTGCTGGTGGCATTCTCTGGGCACCAGGAACATCACACTCCAGAGGAGAGAGCTTCTTGTTACCCTTGCCATGCCACTAACAGCATGCACTGCATGTCACAACTAGATTCCCAATGTCTTCCAAAGCCCTGTGGTCGCTCTAGACAGAATACATTCAGTTGCATTTCTGTCAGTGGGAATCTGTACCTTGCCACTTTAACCTGCCACAGAGACAACTTTCAGGAGGTATATAATACCCGTCAGCATATTTTACCACCCTTGTTCTCTTCAGAAAAAAATAAAAATTGCAGAAACTACAAATTTTCATCTGAGAAAACATAAGCCATGATGTCATTGAATAGAAGGAGAAAGATCTGGACGCAGCCAGGCACCATGTAATCAGCCTTGGGGCCAAGTTCCTTTCAGCCCATCTAAAAAAACAATTAATTTACATCCCTGTTAATACATGGCAGCTTTGTCACCAAACTAGATGGATGCAAAATTCAAACAGATGAAATTCTAAAATTGGATAGTGTGTGTTAAATATTCAAAGAAAAGAGAGTGGGGAGGATAGAAAAGAGCTGTACACCTAGTTCTCTTTCTAATGTATCTCCAGTTTGCTTCCTTGACAACTATTCAGTCTCTTGAATGCTCAACTGTGTTGACAATGACAAGATTCTGTTCTTCCCACTACCGCCCCTTCAACAAGTAGAAGCAGACTGAGGTAGAACATGTGCACACAGTCCTCTAATGTGCTAACACTTGAAAAGTACTACATAATACTGTATTGGATTGCTTCACCTATAATCATTAAATGTTTTACGGGGAAAATATAGTTAATTAGTTCAAATAAAAGCAGTATCCTCTCTTCCTGTTGGTTAACTGTACATTTCCCACCTGCTGACACCTGTCTCCCTTTAGTCAGGTTTTGACCACCACTCGTCAGCAAGAGGCCCTCTCTTGCTCAAGGTGAAATCTTGGGAGACAGCCAATGGCTGGATGTATCTCATTCCCTTTGAGTGACTGGCTTAGATGAGAGACTGAAATGGGAGTTTCAGTTCTAACAAATGAAATATAAGTGAATCAACTCAAGAGGCTCTGAGAGATTTCCTCACTCTTAGAGAATCCACAAATAGTAAAATCTATCATTCGACATTGCATATGAACTTGACCTGAGAACCACTGTCAACATTTTATGTAAGAATATAGAATCTTGGTCCCAGTTGACTGAGTCTGAAGCAACTTCACCATTGACTTACTGAAAGCATGCTGATATTTTCCTTGTATTCAAGGTTCTCAAGTCCAACAAAAACCACATAATCATTGAGCAAGTTATTGGCTCCAATTGATGAATATGACTCAATCCTCCTCCTTGTTCAAATGAACTTCTTGGCTAAAAATGAGACCATTCATATATTTGAGTGGACATGGGTAAAGGTTGTTCAAAAAAGAAGGGGTAATAACAAATCTTAGCCCTTAGCATATTCATGGGAAACAGAAAATGACCCAATGGTAGCTAATGGCAAGCTGAATCTACCTGCTGCACACCCATGAGCCTCCAGCTACTGTTGAAAGTAACCTATGGTGTGCCTGGATTGTAACTGAAACTACTGAGCTTCATGACAGGCTTCATATTAAGGGAAGGAAGGAGTTACAAGACAAACAAAAACATGCCAAAACCCTCAGAGATTCACAACCTCTAGAAAAGAAAGACTGAGCTCTACAACAACAGCTCCCAATATGGTCAGGCACAGAGACACTTGATTTCTTCTGAAGAAATCATGCAAAAGCCTGATGGACTACTCTTCAGACTGAAGAAAGGTAGGAGGAGCCCTACAAGGCCCCTGAGTCCTAGCCACCTATTCACTAGGATTCCCTGAAGTGGCTGTTAAGATGATGGTGGTAACTAAGATTGAAGAGCCAGGCAGTGTTCTGCATAACACAAAGACATAAGTCCTAACAGTTTAAACAACAAAGCAAGATGCTTTCACTGGTAGGAAAACATGCAAATCAATAGTGAAATGTGCTGTCAAGGTTGGGAAACAGCATCAAGGCCAATGATAGACTTGTTCTGCAGTACTCTAAAAGTCATGGCTAAGACAAACAGAAGACTACCTAAATATAGATCCAACTATCTACAGGAAAACAATAGAGAAATGTGTTCTCAATGGAAATCGATGTGTTCTCCACATTCTTCCCTCTCAAACAGGTAAGACTGTATCATAAGCAGCATTGAAAGAAGGAGGACATCATAGAAGGACATTTCAAGATACACATAAGGACTATTCATACAAATTAGAATTTAGAAATCAATTTAAAATGTTTTAAAAGGATAAGTTTCTCAATATAAAAACTAAAGAAGGGGGACTGGAGAGATGGTTCAACAGTTAAGAGTATTGCCTGCTTTGGGGAAGACCTGGGTTTGGTTTTCAGCTCATCCCAGCTCATAACCATCTGTAATTCCAGCCCAAGGGGATCCAACATCCTCTTCTAGCCTCCTCAGGGACCAGGCATGCATGTGGTTCACATATATGCAGGCAAAACACTCACAAACTTAAAAAATTATTTAAATATTTTCATACAGTATATTTTGGTCATGTTTTCCTGTTCCCCCAACTCCTCCTATATCCTCCCTATATCCCTATTCACCCAACTTTATGATCTCTCTCTCTCTCTTTAAAAAAATCAAAAGAAGCCAGGCTGTGGTGGCACATGACTTTAATCCCAGCACTTGGGAGACAGATACAGGCAGATCTCTGTGAGTTCCAGACCAGTCTGGTCTACAAGAGCTCGTTCCAGTATAGCCTCCAAAGCCACAGAGAAACTCTGTCTCAAAAACAAAAAACAAAAACAAAAAATCTAAAGAAGCAGAAGACCAATAAGTCAAAAAATAACAAAAGGTTAAAACAAAACAAAACAAAAAACAAAAACCAGAGTCTGTCTTGTGTTAGCCCACTACTCCTGGGCATGGGACCTTAGCTGGAATACAGCTAGTGACACTCCACTGGAAAACTGTGGGTTTTTTTTCCCTCTACCAGCAAGTATCAATTGCAATTGCTTAGGGTTGGAATCCTGTGTCCATGTTCCCTTCTCAGTGCTGATACCCTTTTGACTTGAACGTGTGCAGGGCTTGCTTATGTGTGTTGCCTCAGTCTCTATGAGCTCATATGTGCACCAGTCCTACTGTTTCCTTGGAGTCATCCACCACTGCTAACTCTTAAAATCTTTCTGCCTCCTCTTCAGTATAGTCCCCTGAGCCTTCAAAGGAGGGTTTGATAAAGACATCCCATTTAGAATTGGGTGTTCCAATGTATCTCTCTCCCTTCACATTGTCAAGTTGTGAGTATCTGTATTCATTTTCATAGCAATATGTCATAAGGAGTCCTTTTATTTCTATGTTCCCTTAGCAGAATAGTAGTAGCAGGTTTTCTCTTAGGTCCATGACTTATCTAGTCTCAGGTTTGAAGCCAAATGAACAGTGTCAGATATAGGTGCCTTCTCATGGAGTCTATCTTAAATCAAAAAATAAAAAGTGGTTGGTTACTGTCAGAACATGGTCAAAAGAATGTAGTGATGCATGGTGAATAATGTGTTGGGCTTGGGAACTAGGAGAGAAACTCCAGGAAAAAAGGCAGAGGGACTTTTACCTCAGGTGCATTTTATTCCCTATATTATTCTTGAATGTGATTGTGTGCCTCCTGTGTTAAACATTTACACTCAATTTATAAAACTTATTTATTCTTGTTAGAAATCAGAACATAGCTATAGAACTCCATCTTGTCAGTTTACCCTGAATCTGGACATGGCCTTCTACCTTGCCTACATGCTCTCCCAAATACAATCTACAGTACATGCCAGGCAACTGGGTTTAAATTGGTCTGTCCTGAGAAAATTCTGAGAAAGGAATGTTCTGTTAATATTTAGTATGTGCTTACTGGCATTTATTTACATGTTTTTCTGAGCATGCTTTTCTGAACTCAAGCCACCTTCCTTGGACCATTGCTCACTTTGTTTCATCATGTAAAAGTACACTCAATCTAAAATAAGGTTGTCTACAGCATTAGACTGTAATCTACCCCCATTCTTTCAAGTCCTCAGATCCCAGGTCTCACAGGCACAGATCTGCACAGGTCCATGAAAGTTGGTCACTTACACCCATAACATTTGTGCCAATTGCACCAGTATAACTTGCAAGCAGGTCAGAACTGTAGGTCATGGGATTTGTAGGTGGGTGATAATTATGATTATCTTTCTCTTCCAGTACTATGCAGAGTGCCTCTCTAGCACTACAAACATCAGTTAGTAGCAGTGGAGTTTCTAGTTAGGCACCATCTTGACTGTTTTGTTCTTGATGACAGAAGTAATTGTTTTCAACTTATACAATCAGATTGAGGAGAGCAACCAATAGCCTGGACAATAGCCTGTGATGTTGAGGGGTGGTGTCCATGTGACCCTTTTGGCCAATGACTCAGCAAGATGTAATCCATTCCTGAAACTGGAGGTGTTGCTTGGTGATTCTATTTAGACTACTTTTGTATATGTAAATATTTTAGGAAGCTAAGCTTCTATGGTAGTAGGCTTTCGTATTGTTTTCAAATGCCCTTTAGTGTTAGTTGCCCCTCCCCATATCCCATCATGGACCCATCTGTCATATCCCTCCCATATGAAATTCTCCTATTCTAGGTAAAATTTCACCTTTTACCTCTCTATGACACTTTATTCTATTTCCCCTTCTTTTGAAGATCTTCTCTCCTCTGGTACCTTACTAGGTCGGTACCTAACCTCTGTGCTTGTTTGGATTACAGCATACAAACAGAAAACTTTAAAGCTAACACCCACATATAAGAGAAAAACTACAAAGAATACATAAAGCCATATCCAACATTATAGAATAAGGAAAGTACAAATTAAAACAAAATATAATACTTATGTTTTGTTTATAACGCAGGCTAACAGGAAGAAAACAATGACTATTTGTTTATGTAGAGTTGATAGGGATGTAAGAAAAGACAGTTCTCCACCAAAGCAAATGGGAGTTCAAACTAATACAGTGATTTGGAGGGAAATTAGTAATATCTATTGAATTTTAAAAATATATGTAGCCACTTCCAAGAATCTGTGCACAGAAACCATTACACAATTTCCCAAAGGTATATAGCTACAAAAATGCTTGCTACACCCTTTGCATTAGCAACAAAAAGAAGATCATTTTATTCATCCATCAATAGAGCCATGAGAAAGTCAGGTATGTGGTTAATCTTGATTACCAATTGACAAGATCTAGAATTACCTAGAAGATAACATTCTGGGCATAACCACAGATTATCAAGAATAAGTTAGCCTCTGAGAATGTCTGTGGTGGATTAGGTTAATTGAAATGGGATGACACACCCTGAATCTAGGAGAGGCCGTCCCCTGGGCTGGGGTCCACAAGCATGAGAAAAATAAAGCAAGGTGAGCACCAGCATTCATCACTCCATGCTTCCTGATTGCAGATGCAACATGACCAGCCAGCTCAAGCTCCTGCTACCATGACTTCCGCACAGTGATAGTCTATATCCTGGAACTTTGAGCCCAGATAAATCCATTTCTTTTTTTTTTCCATTCATTTATTTAGCTCATAAATAAAGTCATGCACAATTATGATACATAATACAGTATATAAACCCATTTCTTTAATCAAGGTTTTTGTTTGCTTGTTTTTATCACAGCAAGAGGAAATATAAATGATGCAGTAGGAGTCACATCTCTGTCCTGATAGGGCTGAAACACAAGGGATCAGAGACAGGCAAGGAGCAAGGGCAGTCCAGTAATGTAAGTAGTGTAAGAGAAAGAAAACAGGCATAAAACAGAGTGGTGATTGTAGGAGGAGGAAGCAGGAAGGAAGGGAGTCTATTTATATGTGAAGCTATGGGGAAGGCTTCCCTGGAGGGTAACACCGGGCTAAGATTAGAAAGGTGTTCTCTAAGCCAGGCCAGCAAACTCAAGGTCTCTATACACAATAGGAAGGACGAGGATGTGGCATGCAGTGTGGTTACAGGATACTGTATAGGAGGAAGAAGGAAAAAGATGAGATTAGAAAGGAAGCTGGGGCCCAGTCGTTTAAGCTTTGACTTTTAGATTTCAGATGAAAAGTTGAGATTTTATTCCTGAAGGCAAATTGGAAGCCATTGGAGTATCAAGGAGGGAGGGGCATGATGTGCTTTACTATATTTGAAAGATTTCACAGGACGCTGGATGGGGGAAAAACTGTAAAATATAACAGGGGGTGGGGATAAAGAGCATGTAGAAGGTCCTGGCAGGATGTGCTGGGTTTTGACCAGGCTGAAGACTACACAGAGCACCCAGATATGAGGTGTGCCCTGAAAGTAGAGCCTGCAGAACCTGATAGGGCAGTAACTTGTGTTGCCTGAGTGCAAAGAAAGAATCAGGATGTCCCCAAGCTTGGGGCAGCTTGGGGCTTGGAAGATTCTGAGAGATGGGAGCACCAATTTACCAAGATAGGAAGCCTGGGAAAGGATCCAGTATAGTAGAGAGCACCAACAGTCCTGTGTGGGATTATTAAATTTGAGCATCCTAAAAGACAAGCAAAAGCAGTAATTAAGAAATATACTTGCCAATGTACAGAAAGAAGTCTGAGAGGTTACCTGCCTATCGGTGTAGAGAACTAGTAAGTGGGTCTGGGGGCTTTGGGAGGTGACATGGAGGGGAGAGGACCATTTTGCCATGAGTGTGTGTATGTGCGTGTGTGTGTGTGTGTGTGTGTGTGTCTGTGTGTCTGTGTGTCTGTGTCTGTGTTTGAAATTTTTACAGTGAATCCTGTATTAGATTTAAATTTAAACAAATAAATGTAAGTAAGAGAAGACTGACTAGGTGATGGTTTTCTGATTTTCATAGACATTTTTCTTCAAACAAAAACCTTTTCCAGAAGTGCTTCTTCTCACTTCATAGACACAACAGAGGCTCAGCTGTCTCCTCCTCCCGGGGTCCACCCTTGGCCTCCTCTTCTTCCCTGAGTCCCTCTACTAGGTTCCAGCTCCATTATGGGCCACACTCAGACTTAACTTATCCATTTACATATTTCCTTCTCTCCCTACTAGAATATACCACCAAGGAAACAGAAATCTTGCATGGCCATCTTGAAATAGTGGCAGAATTTAGAATCACAGATTTCAATAAATAAATATTCTCAATTAAAAATGAATTTCAGGAGCAAGGAAAATGACTCAATGGCTAAATGTTTGCTGTGTAAGAATGAGGATTGAAACTCACACCTCCAGAATCCATGTAAATGCCAAGTGGGCTTGATGAGCCACTTACAATTGGAGGCCCAGAAAGAGGACACAGCAGAGCAAGACTGATAGGCATATCAATGAGCTCTGGGTTTGATTGAGAGACCCTGCCTCACTATAAAGAAGGTAAAAGAGAGATCAATGATGATTCCTAACATCATCAAACTTGGACCTCCTAGTACACATATACACCCTTGTGCATAAACATACATACGTATATATGCCTACACACAGTCAAGCAAGCAAACACATACACACACACCACACAAGGCACAAATGATAAATAGCAAAGAAAAATGGCATCCAATTTGTTTTCAAAGAAAAAAAAAAAAAACAGTGAACCTTATCAATTGAATAGAGGCCATGTCCAGAATCTCATCCAACAACCTTCTTTCTTTCCTTTATTTTATTGATTTGTTGTAGGTCTTTTGAGACAGGGTCTTGTGCACTCTAACTGGCCTCACTATGTAGCTGAAGATGACCTCGAACTTCTGATTTTCCTCATCAGTATGGAAGTGTACCACCACACCCGGTTTACACCTTGCTGGAGATCAAACCCAGGGCTCCATGCATCCTAAAAAATTACTTCACCAACTGAGTTACACCCCCAGCCTCTCACAGCTTCTTCAAATTTCCCTCCCTGCTGCTGCCACTATCTGTCCTGAGCTATATTCATAGGTCCCCAAAGTCTGGCAGGAAATTGACAGGAAAACCACTGGATTGCACAATGACTCTAGTTTTTCCGGTTCCATCTCCAAGGGTCTGCTTCCCTTCATTTTTAGAATTCCCACCTCCCTTAGAATCCTTTCAGCTTCAACCAGAACTTGGCTCTAAGCTCCATGCATTCCATTCCACACCCCCAACTATCCTTATATAGGCATTACTCCTCTAAGTGCTCACCAAATCACCATCAAGCACCCATCCTGACTCAGCCCTTGGATGAACACTAAAGATCCAGACACAGTCTGACAAGACCCTCTCTGCTCACAGGCACCCATGAGAAATAACCCAGGTAATAGACAATGCGAACACCAAGGGCTAAGGAAGCCTCTTAGTATTCTCACAGATCTCACAAACATGTCAGTGAGTCCAACTTTCCTTCTCAAGTCCAACAGTCCAAAGACACGATAATCATCATCTAATAAGAGTAGCTGTCCTTGGGCACTTGGTTGCTGTCTTTAGGAGACACGAACATTAGCTCTCTGCCTTCTGAGCAAGAGAAAAACCATGTTGCTATCTTGCCTGACCCTAGTGTCACTGTAAGCAAGGTAAACAGACATGCCTGGCACTTTCTTCAGTCCCTTCTGTAGTACAGATCTTTAGTCACATAGTCACATTCCTTCTTAGTTTAGCCTAGGCCCAGGCTTGCCTATGTGACTACTGACCAAGAGTGCAGCTGAGAGCCTGGCGCAGAGCCAGGAGCACCACGGGGGGGGGGGGGGGGTGCTCAGCAGCCCTACCCACAGTCCAGCCCTACACTGTCGGGCCCATTATATGTGTTAGAATAGTCTTCCTTAGTCCCTGTATGCCTCAGGACCAAAGCTTAAGAGAAGAGGCCAGATCAGTGGAAAGATTCTTAGAGAAGGCTGCATGAACAGAGCAGACCTTGTCCCCAGAGCCTAGCACATGGTGCTCAGGGGCCACCTGCTGGCAGCCAGGGGCATATGTGACTCTGGAGGAGGAGCTGCCTAAGTCCAGGGTTCCTGCACATACACACAAGCACAACAAACAGTTTACACACACACACACACACACACACACACACACATCCCACACATACAAACACATATGTGCATACACAGAAATATGCAATCTCATACATACATACACATGAAGCCCTTAGCTTAAGAATGCAAGTACATGGGCATAATAAATGCCATGTACTGATATGTGTGCATCCACTTATACCCACAATACACAGGTACACACATGTATATACATAGACCCTGGTCCCTGGTTGAGTTCCTTGCACCACATAGCCTCTTTTTTTGTAACTTACACCCTCCCAGATATGCCCAGGGGAGAGAGAAGCATCAGATCCCTATTCCACCAAACCCTGCTCTGCGGTGTCATGACTTGGAAACCAGCGACCCCTTCATGAGATCTCATTTCCACCTCATCTCCAGAGCAACCTACCTACACATAGCTTCTCCTCACCTGGAACCCATGATTTTTGACAATTGTATAATGGCATAGGTGTGGCTCAACAGTATAAGGACAGAGACAAGGGTCCCTGACTGACAGTAACTTCAATATGAAATGGAACAGCTCACCAGGTGCTACAATAAGGTGGCCATCTCTGGCAGCAGAGGTTCCCAGAACCAGAAAGGACAGGGGGATACTCCTGAGCTCTCTGGGCTTTCTCAGCTGGAGCTTAGAAAGGTAAGCCTACATTTCTAAGAGTGCACTCAAGGGATGGCAGCCTCAGAGGCCCAGACTCAAGGATAAGGAAAAAGCTACTGTTTAATGACTGCTATGTGCAGGTGTGGTCCATTCCATCCTTGCTTCAGAGTCCATCACCAGTCCCATTCCTCCGTCCTGTGTGTCACACAGATTTTCCACAGATGCACTACCAACTTTAAATTCCCATGAGCTTTTAACCAGGCAGATAGCATACGCTCCTATCTGGACCACTTGCCCCTCCTTTCCCCCATCAATCCACCCGGCATAATTCAGAAGGACCAACCTTAACCACAGAAAACTTAGCATCTTTCAGTGACTTCAGATGCTAAGGACTAAGACAAAAATCATAATTTCTGCTTTGAATGTGACTTTCCTTTTCATGATCACGGTTCACCTCTCGACCATCAGTGTCCCTGCTCTTTCCTGGCTGTATCCCATGCCGCAAGCAGCCCATACCTTTTCCAGTCTCAGGGGTTTTGAGTCTGCAATCTCCACTCCCCATACTCTCTTGTCCCCACCCTGAAAGTCCTCCTTCCACTCTCTACTCCATGTCACTCCCTCTACAATGCCTTTTTGTGCCTGACATTCTCTGTGTGCTGCTGTCTATCACACCGAATTGCTGTGTATGCTGTTTGGTGATTTGCCAGGGTTTATTCTTTCCCTTAATTTCAGAAAGGGCAGGGACTTTGTCCCTTGATCGTATTTTTACATTAAGTTTCCACAAATTGTACATGCTACATGCACTGATGATTATTTCAACCAAATCTTACTCCAAACAGCATCCTCCAATTCAACTCACCCACGTTCCAGAGCAAGGGTGTGCAGGTGGCAGCTCCAGGCCAGGAATTAAAACTAGCACATGACCATCTATGTTAGTCCCTGTCCTGAATTCAATTCATCTCATCATCGGATCAGTCCCAGGACTCGGCAGGCCTGACTGGACATTTGTTCCTACCTCAGCAGACTTGTGCCGTCATCTTTCTTGAGCACAATTTTAACTGTCTGATTGGCAAAGGCAGTGTTTATCTGAAGTCTCTGATTAGTGGATAAATGAAAAGAAATCAAGCAACTGAAGAGAAAGACATGTATATACTCATTTTGTTCGTGCATGGGGAACATTCTAATAATGGTCAAAAAGAATAAAGATGGAGAAAGTAGGAATATTAAACTTCCTTACATCTGTTTAGGTATCCAATATCCAAAGAACAGGCCATGGGATTTGGAGTTAGATAACATTGAGATAGGCAAGCTGCCTTTGCAGGAGCCACTGCATGACTTGGGGGAATAACATTAAAATGACTGAGACTGAGTAGTGATGGTGCATGCCTTTAATCTCAGCACTTGGGAGACAGAGGCAGGTAGATGTGAGTTCGAGGCCATCCTGGTCTATAGAATGAATTCCAGGACAGGCTCCAAAGCTACATAGAGAAACCCTGTCTGGAATAAAAACCAAAAAAAGAATTATTAACCTAAAAATGACTGAGATTTTCAAGACAATAGCTGCAGAACTTTAAGCCAAGAGCAGGGACATTTTACAGCATGTGGACTCAAGACACTGTACAGGCAGGCACAGGACCGCAAAGCCAACCCTGCTTTTCTACTATGGCAGGTGTGATGCTCAAAGCTGGGGAGGCCTTAATGACGCTTAGAAAGCATTTCCTAAAGACCTCACCAGGGCCCAACATTGAGAAGCTTGGAGAACAGAGATGGGAGAGCAGTCAGTGCATCACAAAAACAATAGCATGCTTGGGCATCTCTGCTCCACTAGAGGCCAGCTGGGTGGGCAGTTGTCCAGATGCAGGATCTGAGTAGCCATCAGCGAGATGTGGCCATGCAACACAGTCTGGAGAATCCTTGTATCCAAGAACCACTTTACCTTTAGTGATCAGAACCCAGGGACATTGTTTGGCATTTGGCTAGAGGTGGAGAAAATCTGGCTGAAGACAACTAACCCAGGTGCTATGAGACTTGACAATGCCGATAGAGCCAGGTGTTGCCTGAGTCCTCCACTATCCGTAGGCTGAGGATGTTCACAGAAAGAAAGGTTTCCGCAGGAAAGGGGGATGCTGACACTCTAGTTATCTTGCTGGGGCTCTTGTACCAAAACTGGTCTCAGCACTAAGCTGAGAAGCTGCCTCTGGTCTGCTTAGCTTGATTTCCTCATCTGTAAGATAAAAATAACGGTAAGTCACTGTGGGGACAAAATGACCTTGTGCAAATGACCTAACCTGCAATCCTATACCTATAATCATTTCTAACAGTTTTTGTGTAAGAGCCAGCAGCGAGTGGTGGATGATCCAGGTTAAGATACAGGAAACGGGGAGAGGATGTAGCTCATTCTCAACTGTTAAGTGGGTATTAATTATAATACCAACATTAATTATAATGCCATCACCTGGTCAGTTCCAGGACTCAGCAGACCTGACTGGCACTAGTTCCTGCCTTGGCAGACCAGTGCCATCATCTTTCTTGAGCAAAAATTTGACTGTGTGATTGGCAAAGGCAGCATTTATCTGCAGTCTCTGGTTAGTGGACAAATGAAATAAAGTACCTAAAGAAAAATATCTGCAGATAACTCACATTGTTTTGTGCATCGAGGTGGCAGCATTCTAATCATGGTTCCAGGGACCAAAAGAATAAGCAGTATCAGTTAGTGTTGTGGTGAGAATTAGAGGAAACAACACAAATAAAACCCATGGCGGGGAGATAGTTCAGTGAGTAAAAGCCTTGTCTCAGAGGCCTCACAAACTGAGTTCAGATCTCCAGAGGATAGCCGGGGACAGTAGCACAGTGTCTTCAGTCCTGATAGAAACAGGACAATTGCTGGAAGCTCACAGGCCAGAGATCCTAGAGTTCACAACTGTGGACAACAGGAGACACCAACACTGGAGGTCATCGGCTGACCTCCACGTGCACACACACAAAACCTGGGACCAGGCCAGAGAATGCATTCATCATAAGCTTTATGTTTCCACCAGTTGATACTATGGTCTTCCTTTTATCTATGCAGTGTCAATGGGGCACAATGAGGGCCTGTGGAGACAAGAAGTCAGAATGCTGAGTTAAAGATGCAACTATAATTGTTTCAGGACATGTCCTTGAACCTGCCACTTAACTTCCTTTCCTTCTCTGCAGAATGAAGATGATGATAAAGCCACCTCTCCAGGTATTAGTCAAGGTCACACAGGTGTTGAAAGGACATCATTGGCTATCAAGAAACTTGTGCGTGTGTGTGTGTGTGTGTGTGTGTGTGTGTGTGTGTGTGTGTGTGAGAGAGAGAGAGAGAGTAAGTGTGACTGTGAATATATGTGTAAGAGTGTGTGAGTATCAGAGTATATATGTGTGAGAGAGAGTGTGTGTATTCATGTGTGTGTGCATGTGTGTAAGAGAGAGACAGTGTGTGTGACAGTGTGAATACGTGTGCTAGTGTGAGAGTATGTATGTGTGAGAGTGTTATGAGAGAGTGTGAGTATATGTAAGTGTGTGTGAGAGAGGGTGTGTGTGTGTATGTGTTTACTAGAATAGTTTACAAATAAGAGCTGAGTAGTCCATCAATGGCATATATTAGAGAGGCTGAGAAGCCACACTGCTCAATTCACAAGGCTCGATGCATCAGCAGCTCCAATTGGGTAAGAAAATCCTAGAAAATTCCTTGACAGTTGGTGGTCTTCAGTCCATGTTGGAATCCAAACAAAGCTGGGGCCCAAAGTCAGCAGATGTGGAGGCAGCAGGCAAGATACCTTCTCTCTAGCCACAGAGAAGCTCACTGGTACCCTCTATCCACAGCACTGCTCACTCTGGGGAAAGGTCTGTTCCCCTCAATTAATCTTCCTGAGAAATACCCTTAACATACCTGCCCTGGGGTGTATTCCTTACTTGATTCCAGATCCAATCAAGTTGACAATCAAGACAAGCCATCAGAGAAAGCAAGCCACTATCCTAGGAAAGGGCACTAAAACCGAAAACGAAAGCCTAGGGGGAGGCTGGCATCTTATACTGCAGAAACTAAGCATCCAACTGGCTTAAGCGGCTGCCTGTGGCAGAAAGGCCAGAAGACTAGGGTCCAGGTACTGTCAGTAAGTCAGTCTCTGGCTAGTGACATCTTTGCTAGAGGATGGTACTTGACCACCGTGTCCTCTACTGGCTCTGGTGTGCTAGGGAGCCCTGCAGGTTCCTTCCTCCTCTTAAGGAGCGCAGCTATGTGATGACGGCCCCATCTCGACCTCACTTGATCTTAATTTCCTCCATAACATCCTGCTCCAATATTGCAACACTGCACACAGAGTCTTCAACAAATACAGACTTGGCGGAGGGTGGGAGCAATTCAGATCATAATACAGACCGTGTAAAGAATGCATTAAAATCCAGAGTGAAGAGATACAGCTTCACTCTAGCAAGGAAGGATGCTCTGAAAAGCAAGCCTGCTCTCTTAAATGGACCCTACAGGCTTCCCTTGCTGATAGACCAAGAGCATGAGGCCCTAAGAGAAAGGCTTGGTGGAGCACTTCCCATACTTTCTGTGGCCTTCTTCAGTAGTCCTTACATTCAGCTTGTGTCTGGCCACCATGTTCTCCTTCATTTAGTCACTGAAGTGGTTGGTCTCCCCACAGAACAGCAAGCCAAACTTCATTTTTGAGAAGTGAAGTTTTAAATTTGAAAAACCTCTAAAGTACCTGAGTCCCTTCAAACCAGGTGAAGGGGAGTGCTTTTAAATAAATATTTGCGTCAACACAGATTTTAAACAGCGGAGATGGATGGAGTTATTTTATTAAAGAATTATTAAAAAGCTGTTTATCCCCAACTGAACAGAAACACACAGATCAAATCCAAATGGCAGGAATGTGAACAGGGTTTGGGGTAATCTAGCCAGAGTGTCCGGGGTGACTGCTCTGGAGGCTGAAGAGCTTCGGCGTGTTAAATTAAGTCCTCTGGCACCTTTTAAAATCTAAAAAAATCAGCCACATGTTTCTCTAACGGGCTAGAGTTTGGGTGAAAATAAACAAAACTTTTAAAATCATCCTGGCTTTGAAACTAAATACCTGACCACAAACCATTTCTGCAATACCCACTGCCCTTGAATGGTTACAATTTATTCATTCAATAAATATTTATTCAGCTCTTACTAAGCACCAAGACAGAACATCAGATCCTGGTGATGTCATCAGAGATGAAAACAGACAATGCCTAGCCAAAAGACAGATCAACCATTGGCATTGGAACCTAACCAACTGACCTGGAGCTGGAAACCAGGAAGGTAGCTGAACACTCAAGGACACACTAGATTAAGAGCCTAGAATGGGGACCAGACATGGACTAGCCACACAGGCTGAGATCTATCAAGCTTTGATGAGACTCAGGAATTGTAGAGCCATTGTCTGACTTGGCTTGATGGATTTCCTGACACAGGACAGGGAGGCAGGAAGCGGGAGTATATCGGAGGCCACCTGGGAGTACCTCCACGTCTCCATGGAGTCACATTTCTCCTCCCACCACTGGGAGAGGTCCAGGGAGGTCACATGCCATCAGACCTACATGAGAAGCACCTTTACTCACTGGCCCCACAACTGGGACTAACACAATGCCACTGTGAGTCCACCCACCTGAGAGGGAAAGAGGTGCCGGATGCAGGATTATGCTTCCTGCCTCCACTGGGATGGATGTGAGGCAGGAATGAGAGAGAAACATCATGGAAACTGACAAAAGAGGCAAGTAGCCCAGTGAGAAGGTCTGACTGAAACCCACCTGGTGACAGTGGGGTGGACAGGGACTCTTTTGTGCAGGAGCATTTTAAAACTCCTGAACCAAACATACGCTACAGGGTCTCAGGATCCAGTGGGTTTGGAACGTTTCGTTCTGACCTTCAGCAACCCAGTCTCATACAAGAATCTCTCTGACTTGTCTTCCTAATGCTTGTTCTCTAGACTGTGGGAGAAAACCTAGAATAAGGAAGAGAAAAGCTTAAAAATGTGTGTGTCCGTGCCAGTATGTGTGCACATGCCTGTCTTCTCAGCTTTGGGTAATGAAGATAAAGGAAGATGATGTCTGAGCTCAAAAGACTAATGTGTGTTAAAGAACTTTATGTGACTTGCACTGTGTGTGTGTGTGTGTGTGTGTGTGTGTGTGTGTACATTAGCATTTGCTACCCATATGCCAATTTCCAAAGTAAAAGAGACCCAGAAGCTCTCTGCAGCAGCCCCGCCCCTTCTTTCCATGCTGTCTGAATGTCCCCTGTATATCCTTATGAGTTCTCACCCCAGGCACCTTCAGCTCCCCATTGAGGAATCCATAAGAACATCAATGCCTGGCATTCACTGAGCACACACTAAACAGCTGGCACTGTGTTAAACCCCCTGCCATGCATGGTCTGCTACATCCCCATTTTACAGATGAAGCCACTGTGGCCTGGAGAGATACACGAACACGCATTAAGTCACACGGCCACCTGGGAACAGAACCAAGATGCCTGATTCCAGGTGGAAAGATATAAGCCCTGTGTGCCGCCTCTACACTAGCTGCTTTTGAGCCTGTTTTGCATCGGGTGGCACCGGCCCTCACCCCAGCTGTTGAGACGGCTGCTCCTATGCTGGGTAATGGGACTCTTTAGCGAGTTGCCACATCTGCTGAGCCCAAAGTGGCCTCTGTGGAGTTCCTATGCATTCATGCTGTGTCTCCCGCTGGAGCTGCACAAAATAGGAAAGCACTTGACTGGATAAAACGCCTCGGGTGTCAGAACACAGCAACAGATTCCCCCTTTTTTCTTTGCTCCAGATCCAAGTACCTGGGCTCCACAGAAGCTCATACACTACAGAGCTGGAGGCGGGTGATTCCCAGGGCCAATCTTCCGACTTGGCTAACCCAGCAGTGCCAAAGTCGCCTGGGGTGTTGGGGAAATCCTAGCTCCTTTGGCAGAACATAAATCGGTAGATGTAAGCCCAGGAGTCCATGATTTTTACAAGTTACCATGGGATTCCACTGAGAAATAAAGAAACCTGTCGTTTTAAAGAAAGAAAATCCAAGCTCTAAGAGAGTCATTTCTATCTCATATTCACAGGGCTGTATTCCAGCTAGCTCCATTTGGACACTCCTTGCAGTGCTGATGGTTCTAAGTCAAGAAAAACTGTCTTGAGACAGTTGGTTATTAGGCAAAGGCAAGGACATGAATAC